CTTTATTAAAACATTGATATCCTTCACCTTGTCACGCTGACCTAGTTTGTAAAAGGTTTCTTTGCGACGTCTCAAATGTTTGAGGTATGGTGAGGAGATTCTATCAGGCCTGACCATAACAGTTTCACGGGGACAACAAATATCAAAAATGTGATTCAAAAATAGCGTAAGATAATTAGAGCATAATTCAGCATTTGGTAGTGCTAGAAAAGTTGGGATGGTACTAGTAATTGAACTCTGCAGTAAGTGGATCTTATCTACGGATGTGTCTCGAACAGTAATTTTCCTCTCGGGTTTTGTAAGCAATTGACGCTTAGAGGTGGAATAGACTTTTGGAAGTCCTAGTAGCACTGAGTGATCAGACCCGGAGAGTGGAGCTCTATTTTTAATACAAAAAAGCTTTGGGTAATTGGTCAATATGTGATCAAGAGGGGCATCAGCCCGTGTATTGAATGAAACAAGGTCATCAAAACCTAGAAGGGTAATGGGCCGAAAACTCACACGGTTAAGATCACCGCACAAAAGAATAAGATGGTCTGAGGATAATGAAGCAAGTTTTTGTGTGAGGAAGTCAAAAAAACGGCCCAGAGAGCCTTCATTTGTGGAAGGGGGGATGTAAATACTGACAAATATAATACCCTTAAAGCTATTTAACCAATGGGGCTTGCAGATAACAGCAATTACATCAACTAAATCATCAGAATATGAAAACAGGGGCTTACAATTTATACACCAGTCTTGCTTGACAAAAATGGCCACCCCTCCACCTCTACTGCCTGTTGGAGATGCTCTATCATTTCGAAAACAGCAAAATGTCGAAGGAGTGATTAATTCCGAGTCAATATGGCTATTCAACCACGTCTCCTGAAGGCAAATTACTCCTGTTTTGCCATGTTCTTTGGTTGACAGAAGTAATTCCAAATCATGGGCTTTGTTAAATATCGATCGACAGTTAGTCGAAAGAAAACCCGGGATTGACAACTTGTTATTAGGCTGGCGTTTAAGCGCAACTTGCCATCCACAGCGATGTCGCTTTCGAAAAATTGGCCTTTGCTGATACGAGCGTGGGAAGGCCAGCGAGGAAGGACGAGAAACAGGACAAGTTGTCAGAGTGTAACTGCTGCTGGCACCGTGAGTTCGTTGCGTTTGGGAGCGTGAGAACGCCAACGCAGGACAATCGCAGAAACGACAAATTGGCCGCAAAGTGCAACCACTGGAGTCATGATCAGGAGGCGGAAAAATCGATGCAGAAATTTCGCAGGGTTTAAGCTCCTTTAATAAGGTGCTAGCGTACTGTAAAGACAACCTCATAGTAATAGATAAATTAAAACAAAGGAATAAGACTGGGGTATGCAATTAGCAAATATTCATGTGACTGGAGGGAAACAACGAAAAATGGCGGCTGAATTTCAAAAGCCACACCCCGATGACGTTTGTGCTTCGTGATGAGACAGATGATGTGATTAAACAATCTGACAACGAACGGGTGGTTATGATCGTAGTTCAGTATAACAAATGAGCAAAGGCAGAGCCTTTGATGACCTGACTAACAGACAAAGACTAAACAGTGGACATATGTGTAGGCAGATAAAGGATATATTTTATCATTTCTTCTCATATAAACGTATGGCCATCATATAAAAGGTTCTCCAGTCTTCTTTTAAATGCCTGAACAATTTCCGCCGAACAACCGGATTAGGTAGTTCGTTCTAATCTGCTATCACCAAGTTCAGTTTATTTCATTTTATTTGAGGGATACATTGGTGCTGAAAAAGTGAACACCCTGTTTGTTACAAGGAGGCCAATTATATCAAAAACTTGAAAATGAAAACATAAAGCAGCTACAGACGTTCTTCGAGAAGTGTCGGATAAACGAATTGTTTCCAGTGTTAGAAACCTAAACATTACTATACGTGCTGTACGGTAGTCAGTCTATGCATATTTGGTGCGATCTCAATTTTTGAGGGAGACGAATTGAATGCCATCATTCACAATCAATGGACTTGGGGTATTAAAAAAAAACAAACGTAACTGAAATAAAAACAGAAACGTAATGTGATTAACAAACTGTTAGAACTATACGCTAAGACGATGACATCTATAGGCAAAGCATTCCTGGAAGCGTGTTACACGTAATGTTTCTATCAGGTCGCCTCTAAGCCGTCTGTAACTCAGTGGAGAAAGGCCGAGATTTGATATTTCGTTGAGGGGAGAAGTGAACTCGTACTACAAGTTTGGCGTAATTTGTCTTCAACTTATATTGGTTACCTTGGTGATTTGTCGTTTGTGCTAGTTCACAAAATCGTCCAATTTATGTGATCAGTCTACTCCTTGACATGTTTGAAGACAATGATCATGTCCCCTAGATATTGCCTATGAAAGAGAAAGGAAGAAATCTGAGCGTTTTTGGCCGCTTCTTATAAGGTAGGCCCTTCAGCCCCCTGAATAGTTTGATCACACTTCATTGAACCTTCCCCAAGACATTGTCGCCTTGCTCCATCAAAGACCATGCTTGAATGCCAAATTCCAAACTCAACCGGATATATGTTCCGAAAAGTCGACCGAAAAGCTTTTCGTCAAAGTTAAAGAGGGATCTCAGGGTGGCCAAAGCCTTTTTTGCTATTTTGGCGAAGTAACACGAGGGTCTGAGAGAGGACGTCATCCACACACCTGGGCCCTTTACTCCGTTTTCAAGCTCTAGTTCGCAACCTTCGATGAACTACTGATATTAAGATGTTGGCCCTTTCAACCTGGTTAATTTCCACACAATAGCGATCAAGCCCAATATTCTTGCCGTCAATTTGAAACCGTCATATGCATTTAGATGTCTCTAAGCACAACATGCGCATACAGCATGCTTCTGGATATAATGTTTCGCATGAATTTTGCGAGGCATAATTGCGCCAGTAGTTTGATAATATTTTTCTGTGAGGACAACGGTCATCTGGAATACATATCGGTTGATTTTGGGGTCGTATTATTTTTAAAGACGGAGAATTTCGTTGCACCTAGCTCGTTCTCTCTTCCCACTCTCAGTATGATCAACAGACAACGTATGACCTAGACAAAGTCGATAAGCAAAGATCCCCTGCTCACGTTTAAAAGCACGTGATATCCCATTAAAGTTCACGAACCAGGCTTAAGCACCCCAGATGACACATCGGCCCGCACTGAGCACACTCAGGAGTTGCTTCAATCCGCCGTCCAGTCCTCGGTAGAAAAAAGTTATCGAAATACTTGAAAGCTTTAAAGTGAGGCTTACTAGCACATCTCTTGCAGACATGGACAGTTACAAAGTAAAGCATGGCATAGTAACACTTAATTCTAAGCACGATTCCTTACTTTAGAGATTAAGAGAGTTCACATGCCCAGAGTGTGTAGATAATGGGAAAAAAAACTAGAACAAGGGTTAATCTGAAATCACAGATAGTGCTCTTGGGACGCGGCTCCGTTGCAAAGACAACCTTGTTTATGGATGTACAGTCCTGAGTTTCCCTTACGACGGATTAACAAAGAAAGGAAAAAAACCGGTGGGAAGCTAGAAATTAAAATTGATGCCTAGGACTAACGGGGTTTGCGATCAGGCAACAAATAATTAATTTGGAAGAAATGCGAGAGCAGTTGGCAAATGTCGATTGTACCGTTGGCCGAGACCGCACGTGTGAACACGAAAAAAGCCCAGGTTCATAATCGATTGTGGAAAAACTGCATAAAATGCACTTCACTGCCTGTTAAATTATTTGAACGTCGATTACTTGGATGAAAATGCAGGCGCCTCTTGAATTCGTTTTATTGGATTTGCAAAAACTCTCAATAAGTTACTCGGAGCAATATCCACAGTGTTGTGTGCCACGTCTTGAAAAAATCTTCCTTGGAAAAAAGAGCGGTTCGAGATGGTTCCTCAAGAATCGTCAAAATTTGTATAGAGTCAGTCATTTAAAGTGCATCCGACTTCGGATGTCTTCCCAGGTTTTGCTGACTAGCATGAAATATATCATTTCAAAATTTGTACAAGTTAAAAAATTCCCAGGCTTTGCATTTTGTTTACTTTTTGCATGCGTTTTCACCAAAATTCTAGGAATTTAGATTTCTGTAGTCAAAAAATGCCTTTTACTGTGCTAGAATTTGGGATCCGAAATCAGTATGCGGTCCCATTGGTCCTACCGGCTGAATGTGTTTTCCGGCTGTTTCGGATGGTGATTAGTTAATTTTATCTTTTTCTCATCTTATTCTTTGTTTTGTTTGGATCCTACCCCTACCAAACAAAAATTACATTTCTCAGATGGCAGCACGCTGCAGCGTTCAACTTTTTGTCATTTGTACACGACTTTATTAGTTAAGTCGGAGATAATTGAGTTGCTGCCGCCCCATAATTATGGGGCAATAAACTGTTCCGTCTCCAACACAAAAAAGCGTCCAAACTACTCAGAAAGACCCCACCCTTCTATTTATTGCGTTTTCTGGTGTTTTCAGGCAATGAGACGAGGAGGGGTTGCTACCGATGTCCAGGACGTCCCTCCATTTTATAGACATGTCCTTGAAAGGACACTTTTTTCTACAAGCTCATGCGGGTAGTCCTAGTAAAAAATGATGAAAGCCTCTTATATATCACAAATTGGCCGTAATATAAATCTTCTCTAGCAAACGACGAACAAGAGAATTCAACACATTTTCTGATTATATCGAATTTAGTCAGTACCAAAAAGAGTATTCAACGAGTTGATCCTTCACTTATCGTGGAGAGGGTCCAACTGGATTTTCCGGATACCGTATGCAAAACGTCACAAAAGCAGTTATGGCGCACATTTGTCTGCTGTACGGTTTGCGAATGTATTGCCTGCTTACTGGCCAGGCAAAACCCCCTACTTAAAGACTAAGTACTCTTGATTTTACGTAATAAATATCAAAGCCGACACTGTATACCAGCTATGGGGATCGGTAGTTTGCTCATATGTGTAGAACTCATCACAGGCCGCAGATCTTATTATAATCTGCCTACAGTGGTTTTATTATCGCAGTTACCCTGGCACCCTGTTTATTTTATCTAAACCAGAGCTGCGAACTGGCTAAGCATCCACTTGTGCTAAAAGAAAGACAAAGCGTACGGACCAGGCTTAGCTGCACAATTTTTGAAGTTCACTTAACTTATTGGGAATGTCCGATAAGTCCGGTCTCACAAGCGCTGAACAGTTAGTTTTGAAATTCATCCGTCCCATCCGTCAGATTCTTTTTTTTCTTAATTTTTGATGTGCCTTTTTCCAATGTATTAGGATATTATTGAATCCTACCTGAACTTGCGTCTCTTCGCTGACTGCCTGGATGCCAGGGATAAGGAAAAACCTGCATGTGGTAAGAAAAACTTATGCTTCGCGCTTCTTAATTTCACGGCATTTTACGAAGTTCTGTAGCAAATAGATGTCCGCATTTCCGCACGATTTCTGAGCCACACTACCAGTCAACGCTTTCAAAAGTTGGCACTGTCATAAATTGTTGATTGCGTTCATCTGTATCTTAAGTGCTAGGCACACAAAGTGTTTGCTGCGTTCTTCTTAGAATTTGTTTGCCATTAGACTTTAGCCGTATACTTCTCGTTTAGCATTTAGCCTTCTGCAACTTTCTGCCAGCGACATGTCTTGGAAGCGTCCCGCTTTCCCAATAGTCTTGAAATTTTCGGAAGAAGTTCACGAGTTCACTGTTGAGGTTGCAGCTGATTAAAAATGAAAATGGATAGACTCGCGTAGGACACTTTTTGACGGATATAATGACTGCTTACTTATAACGCACCTGATATTGGACAGTCTTAGACACGTTTACTTTTCAACGTATGGTTTGACGTTGCCATGCAGGTAGCAGTTCCCGTCTTTTCCTCATGGTCATTCTTTTCTGTCATCAGAGATTACCAATACAGGTGGAGGCATGTGGATATAGTTCCTGCCTGTCATTCAGCATATTTTTTAGTGCGTACAGATATGGAGCGTTTTTATGTCACTGTGTGTTTTTGTAGCCAGCCGCTATCACCTACGCATATGGCTTACGTATGTATCCCATTTCCCACCCTTTATGAGGGCGGATTTGCAGCTTCCGAGTCGTTGAAAACTTCGGACTTAAGTTTAGAGTCTTGGTCACCAGTCTGTCCGACAGTGTTACAATTTCTTGTTAGCTTTTTCTGCATAACCGACTAAATTCAAGTACTTTAAAAATTTTCCAATCACCCTCACGTTTGTGGGTCCTATTTCGCCTTCTGAAGACTAAGGCAAAGGAAACTGCTCTGTTATTTATAGGATCGTCACAAGGAATATTTATCGTCAGGGTAGAATTTGAATCTGACACAATGTCAGACCATTCGTGCTTCTTTCTTAAACCTGCGGACTTTAGGAGCACTTTTATTGTGGCCTATCAGAACAACTCGCATGACACTATTTCACTCAAGCGGTCTTTTATCCTTTCTTGAAGGGTCCTGTTTGGTCAGCGTGCCCCCAGCCTCGTCACCACTCTACGAACCCTTCCATCAGCTCATCGATTTGACTCGGGGTAGGTGTTTTCCTTTATTCTCTCCTAATTTTCAGCTGGCTCGGATGGTATCAACTGCCGTGCCTCGGAGACGCCGTTTCGATGCTTCAATGTTACCTATGGGCTACTTGACAGAACGACTACGGATCCTGTGTGGGAGATGGTCTCTTTCTCTCTCGCCTGCCATGGCTATGTCATTCACGCCGAACTACACCACAAACCACCATTGGGGTAGGGAATGCATTTTGACTTGCCTACCCTACTGCTAACTGCAGTTTTCCTAATGTAATTTATCTGCTGCCTACTTTACAACAAAGATGGTTTGACTTGAAGTTACTTATGTAGGGTGTGATGGGAACAGAACCTTCAGGAGTATGTGATCGTGATTATGAAGTCCGTTTCCTGAAATGTGTAAGAGCTGTGTACCTGTGTGGCAGAACCTAATCCCGACACGAACGGTTACCGCAGAAACCTCACTGTCTACATTTGAAAGTCGATCTGAAGTAATTTAAAGGCGGAGCTTTGATCGCCTAAGGGAGTTGACTTTGACGTCAAACGCCTGACACACAATCAAGCTTCGATAATCGAAATACGAGCTCTTTAAAGGTGTTGCATAGCGTTCTCTGGACGTGAACGTCGGCAAGCGCCACACAGACTGTCTGACCTGACCATATCTGTCATCGTCGACTCTTTCAGAAGTAGTATACCCTTTACACCTTGGAATTTTAAACTGCGCACTTGAAGACGATCGTATATTTACTAGTGGTTTTTTGGCAGTCTGTGTTGGGTTGGACATCCGGTTGTGAACTCCTGTCTATGCGCGCACATCGACGAAACAACCGTCTTTTGCAACTAATAATCATAGAGAAAGAAAAACAGTAAACCGTCGAGAGATCTGCAGTTTAAAGCCGGATCGGCAGATTTTGAAAGCCTGACGCTTTGTCGTGGTGTCACCCGTCTGCGTTCTGCCTGACGCAGTCAGGGATATTGTCTTTCTCGACCATGGCGACTTCTTGTCACATATTTTTATTTCGCTCTCACTCTAGGCCGGAGACCCTGCTGATGGATTGTGAACCTCAGTTGTCACTTAAAAGAAATGAATTCAGGCTGCAAGAGATGCTACCTCTGAGACGCTTCATTGAAAATGAAATCCTTCCAGCGATCCACGCCGAGCTCTCCGATTCCCTCATTGCCTCCCCATCACCTACTACTCCTCCTCCTCCCCCTTGCCTTGCTCATTGAAGTACTTTTTTACTAAAGAAAATTTGTACATGATTTCGTCATTTTGCTGCCTCATTAGTGCGCTGCCCCTCTTTGGAAGTGGGAAGGGGAGTTGGAAGACTTATGCTGTCTCTTCTGTAGCACGTCCATACTTCACACTTGTTGTACATGCGCACATGAATCAGCGCTCTGATCACTTTCATCGTCTTTTTTCGAGTTATTTTTTGTCTCACGCCGACCTGCTTGCACTGGACAGTTGTCGGGACCAAGGTCACGCCCCCAATATTATTTTGCACAGTGTGCTGCTCTCATTTCAGTAGGCATGTAATCTTTAATAATTATCTTGCAAGTTCCCGTATCACTAGAGGTTAACTTCGTCTCTCAGGCGTGCTCATATACGTTGGATATATCGGATCATTATAACGCGTCAAATGAGGCTCATAATACTGATGTAAGTAAGGCACGCCTGTTCCAGGGGGCTTACCTCCCATAACTTTCAGTTTATTGCAGTTTATTTTTGAGGGCAGTAGGGGAAGCCTTTGGAACCCTATTGTTTTCATGTCAGTGTGTGATGTACAGCTGTGAGCGCATCTTAAACAAATTGCGCGCAACTTAAGTAGCATTGTTCTCGAAAAAATCTGTGTCTGGGGTTGGCGTGGCATTTACTTCACGCTCCGAGTGTCGAAGGATAAACAAAGACACATAATTATCCAAGCGTCTCTTGAATAGCTGCCGGGAGGTCACCTTTACAGCTGATTGCAAGGACTCATTCATCTCGCTGCGTGATGAATTCTGATCGAGGGTTCAGCCTGGATATTTTCTTGCGTAGCTTTATTGAGTGTCCACCAAAACACGTCCTGGGCAGTAAAAAGCGATGGAAGTGTTTCGTTTTGGATCCAGACGGCTGCCTCAATTGAAGAAATCGAATACTTACCAAAAAGACGTCCTTTTCAGATTACGGGACATGCACCTATCACTGCACTCTAGTGTTTTCTCTTCAACCTTCGCAGACATTCGCCTCGCGACGAGCCCCAGATCTGCCACTGGCGCGTGAGGGTTATTAACTGGAGTCATCCATTAATTCCTCGATGTCCCTAAAACGATGTATTGGGGGTCACTAACCGACAGACAAACCAACTTGGCCCCTCCACAGCCTCAGGCAGCGCCTCCCTAAGATTACAGCCCTCATGACATCTAATCATCTCGACAGCTGTAATGTTAAAGTCCATCTGGCACACTCAGATATGAGCACTTTGCCACATTAGTCATCTCTAGCCCTGCTGACTTTGTTGAAGGGCGAGGTCTATGAAAGGCCTCCTTTACTGCCCTAGTAGACAGGGCGCGTTTTTAAACTGCCACAGCGCGTTAAAGTCGGGGGTTGGGGGGGGGGGTTGCGGCCTACGGGTCGAGTGAGTGATCGCCTGGACTGCAGGACAGGCCTCAGTGGCCCCTCAGGTGTGTGGCCTTTCAAGTTAGTAAACAGAATGCTAGCGTTATGTAAAGTCTGATTCGCATGCACCGCAACTTGGATGATACGTGTAGAGGCGGGCTTTGTCACCTCAGTAAATGCAATCACGGGCGCACACAGCTTCCGTCGTCTTGACTGCGCCTCTCGGTTAGGACGTTCTGAGCATTTTGAATGGGGTTGAGGTAGACGCTGCACAAACCTTTCACGCAGCGCAGCGCTGTGTGTACTCCGTAATTTGCTGCTGTCCAATTATCACACATAGGCGCATGTGATGCACTGGACAATACTGGAATATTTGACTCGCCTCTGTAATACACAAATCGTATTGGGGTGGGGCGTGGGAGTAAGTGCATCCTCCCGTATTGCAGGTGCCACTGCGTTAAATTCCAGGAGGGAGGGATAGGATTGAAGTTAGAACAAGAGAGTGTCGCCCTCCACCAGAATTTTGGAGCAAAGACATCTGTGCCGCGGAGGATTTATACTTCCATGTCCAATCGATGAGTTCAGCAATTTGGAACTGCTCCTCTCAACATGACCGGCACGAATCCCCCTCTTCCCCCCAGCCCATCCAATCACAACAGATAAGCGTACCGTTCGGGAAATAGAGCTCACAACCCTCCGCAAACACAGTCTCTGAAACGCGAAAGTTAGCACTGCAGGCGAAGGACGGATGTCGGCGTCATACTGGTCGATCCCACTGTTCATAGATGACTTGTTTGGCTGTTCACCTGTTGCAAGACCGTAAGCGCTGTGATGCTTGTCAAAAAAAGGCAAGCGCAGACTCCAATTAGGCTGCATACAGTACAATAGATACATACATGACAACGGGCTCGTGGCGAAGTGCTTAGATGCGTGGATTTCTAACAAACAGGTCGCGAGTTCGAGCCTCGAGTGTTCCACACCTCGGGATAGGGAATGACTGGCTGACCACGTCCAATAAACCAAAAATAGACATTCCAGTCTCCCTTGTCTTTGTCGGTAATGCCATTCTGCCTATATCATGCGCCGCTGTGCGGCTGCTGGTTGGGCTCGAGAGAGAGCCCTTAAGGCATAACGGAACAAGGGAGTTTCTTAAGAACGATCGGTGAGCGCCCCCACAACTTTTATATATGTTGAAGTCGAATGTGTGGTTTGGGAAAGGAAGTTTGTTGTGTAAATTTTCGACGCCGGTTCCCCATGTCGTCGTCAGACACAAACGAAGAGCAAATGCGCCAGCATAGTTAACACCTTAAGTGCACTTAAAAAATCGATAGTCGCTTGACGTTCACGCCCGTAAGCGGCCGTCGTGTGTGTTAGTCCGTTCTGATTGGCCTTCGCCTCTTCCATCTCTCCTTGAGATTTCTGTAGGCGGCATCCAAATCGATGTGCCGGTTAATGCATGATTCGTCTGAGTGCATGGCCTCAAGCAACTCTCGGCCCTTTTTGGAGGGACACACAGCGACGATGCGAGTTTTCTCCCAAGCGAATGTGTGCCCCGTGTCCAGGGTGTGAATGGCCACTTGAGACAGGTGGTCTCGCCTCTTTACTGCCAACTGGTGTTCGTGAATGCGTGTAGAGGAGCATTTTCCAGTCTGGTCAAAATAGACGGCATCACATGCATCACAAGGGATCTTGTAAACGTTTTCTTTTTTGTCCAGATAGTTAACCCTATCCTTCACATTTCTACCAACGATAATGTGTAAGACGGTACTGTTATTCCTTTTGGCAACCTCTATCCTACCATTTTATGCCATTTTCGGTGGGTTCAAATTTATGTCAATGTATAAGTTTATATGTTTTACATGCATGCTTATGCTTGATTAGCTGACCGATGCAATTTATTTAATGAATTCTTCGGCGAGTCCTGTAGATATTGGCTGGATGGCGCAATATGAAAATTGTGACATCCTAAATCATGTTCGTACCTATTTAGTTAGTTATCAAAAGCGACACTAAAAAGAAGTGTAATTACCCTGTAATATGAATATGTTGTTACATACGTATGGATGTAGAGAGGATCGCCTACATACAAAGACACAATGACTTATTTGGTGAAAATTACGTCTTTCTGGGAACTCTCAGTTTAAACAAAACCCACTGACGTACAATCGCAGAACGTTGCGGTTACTATGAATACACATTTTCGGAAACTAATCGACGAATCTTTTGCTTTCTTCATGCCGCTAACTTGTTAGAATCAAACAGACTGTGGGCGATATTGGGCGTATTGGCTAATGCGGCTTAAAACCACCGTTTGACGCATGCGAGACATGTAGCTCAGACCGCAGACACAAGAGAGATACTCTAAATCTCGCAGTTGAAAGTACTCATAGCAATCTAGCCTTCTCAGGAGCAAACCAACCCCGTATGCCGCATGGCGACTTCTCGCCACACACAATTTTGGTGCATTGTGGTTTCAACTTCAAAATGTCCAAAATAATGAAAAGAGCACATACCATAGATGGGTTAACTCTTGAAATGCTAGTCGGTATTTTGAAGTGCGTTTTCGACTGGAAAAAATGACTAAACAGAGTCCCTGAATATTAAAGCCACTCTGGGCTGCTGGTTTTTATATGAGCCTTCTTCCGGCCGTCTGTATAGCCGTACTTGGTACAATGGCCACTTGAGTGATATGAGCATTTCCAGCTGTTTTTTATGCCCGTATAAATTTAAATATGTTTCAGATAAAACATCGACAAACATATTCTTTCTCAAAAGAAGAGGAGGCGTTCTCCGAGAAAGGTGTATTTGAGGTCTGACGTTTCGGGTAGTCGTTTCTTCTACCCATCCTCAGAGACTGAGAATTCATGCACACACCTCTGCCGGTGAACGCCTCCTTTTCTTTTGATGTGCCACCTGGGAATCGCATTTTCATTACTATTGATATTCTTTCTCGTATATATTTTGACAGTAATTGCGTCCTTCATGAGTTTTGTACTCACAGAAACTGCACCTTTCGGTTTTGGAAAGCATTTAATTACAAGATTCTTTAAGATCCCGAAATGTTCAGTTCATTTGTTAAAGCAGTGCATTGTGAGTGCGACAGGGCTCAAATCTATTGCATTGTTTCACGAGCCCTATGTGACTTATATATGACTATATATTTATGATTCTTCCTACACCGAGAGTATACGGTGTCGGGATTTTAACTGTAGGCGCAAGAGCAGCCACTGATGGCATCCAAAACTGCTTAGGAGATGAAAACTTTTTAAAAACAAAAGACAATCCTTTTTCGGCTCAAAAAAATTAAACAAACATATCGTTCTACCAAATGAATACAAAAAAGAATATGTTTTACAATTTTTTCTTTAAAATACACACAAATCCATTAGAAACTTTAATATGAAATGAGCGGCCATTTTCTATAGAGTAAAGTTTGAAAAGAGATGGGTTCTGTGGGACAAGAGGGTTTATTGCGTAAATTTTCGACGCTGGTTCCCCAAGTCATCGTCAGACGCAAGCGGAAAGCAAATGTGAAAGTGAGAAACAGCTATCGTCAAGAGTGCACGAAAAAATCGATACTTGCGTGGCGTGTGCGCCGGCAAGCGACAGATGCCGGCGTTTTTCAAATGCT